AGAATACGAGCTGGATGGAAAGAGTGCATCCGGCGTGTTGTGTGACCGTCGTAGGCCACTGAAGCTCAAGGGAAAATTTTATAGGACGGCAATAAGGCTAGCGATGTTGTATGGCACAGAATGTTGGGTGGTGAAGCATCAACACGTACACAAAATGGGTGTAGCGGAGATGAGGATGCTTCGTGGGATGTGTGGGCACACGAGAAAGGATAAGATTGGGAATGAGGATATCCGAGGTAAAGTAGGAGTAGCCGAAATTGTAGGAAAGATGAGAGAAAATCGGCTCCGGTGATTTTGAACATGTGCAAAGAAGGCCGACTGACGCTCCGGTTCGAAGATGTGACTACGGGACAGAGGTTCAGGGCCGAAGGGGTAGAGGAAGACCTAGGACAACTTTGGAAGAGACTCTAAGAAAAGACTTAGAGTACTTGGATCTAACGGAGGACATGACACAAAACCGAGCGCAATGGCGTTCTAGGATTCATATAGCCGACCCCACTTAGTGGGAAAAGGCTTTGTTGTTGTTGTTGTTGTTGTTGTTGTTGTTGTAGGGTTCTTACAGGTTGAATTAAAATTCAATATTCTTTGCGCTTTCATGCTTGTGTAATTGTTTTCTTGGTACCTCCGATGACTTAGCATTGTGGTTTAAATGATTGAGATTAGGGGTTTGCATCTAGAATTACTTGGAAGAAAATAAAAATTCCTTCTGAACTCGTCACTTTTCTCGCCTGGTAAATATCCTCTTTACTGCTTTATTTATTTATATATGTGTTTGATACATTTGGGTATTATCTAATTGATTGAATTTACATGCATATTATGATCATAATCATTCATATTATCCAACATCTACACATTCCTAAAAAGTTGCAAAAAGTGGTGAAAAGAAACGGTTGCAAAGGTGGAAAATTGTGGGATTGAGAGATGTCGAAACCATTGGAGAGAGGACGAAAATGGGTTGAAAAGAATCATGGACGTGGAAAAACAGCAGAGGGAAGAGGAAAATGAAGGTCGGAATCGAGCAGCGCGTTGTTTAGTAAGGCTGGGTTCAGTTCGGAACGGTTTGGTTTTTGCCAAAATCGAAACCGAACCGAAATTTCGGTTCGGTTTAATTTTTTTTCGATTTTTTCGGTTCGGTTTCAACCCGGTTCGGTTTTTTTTTTTTTTTTATCCTCCCGTTCTTCGTCTTCTTCTTCAATAGCAAAAAGAATTCTGAATTGCCGAAAACATTGAATACATTCTTCAATCAGTTCTCAAATGCACTTAATAAGATACCTTAAAACAAACATATGCAACTAGTTGTTGGCAAATTACATCTAAACCAATCAACAAATTTAAGTGCACCATCGCGAAACATATGAGATTTAAGCTGCTCATCAGCAATTAAACAACAATCCTTGCATTTCTTAATTTCCAAGTGAATCAAATTACATTCAAGAAATTTGAATTATGCATTATAGCTGACATCTACCATTTCACCCTTCTACTACTATGCACAATCAAGAAAAGCAAAATAGGTGCAGCATAAAAACCCATAAATCGACAAATAAATAAGAGAGATTAGGGATCTTTGGTGAAGGGAGGGTTGCTGCGGGTTATGGAGAAGAGGGTAATACTTACGGATTGTAACCACAGTTGGAGCATTTGAACTGAAACAAGAAAAACCCAACAGTAGAAAAGCTATTTCATAAACCACAAACAGAAAACTCCCAATTTACCATATTAAAATCAACCAACAACACAACACAAAAACACAACCAAATTAAAATCAACCAAAACGAAAAAAATAAATCTTTTTTTTAATTAATAGTTAAAATAAGGAAGAGATTGAACCAATTCGAACTCCCTCAGCCATCCTCCTCTGCTTCCAATTCGAAAGGGACGAGGGAAAATTATGATTTGGAAGAAGGAATTCGTGAAGAGAACAGGAGAAGACTGAAGAGAGAGTGATTTGGAGGGAGAGAAAGAGATAGAGAGAGAGAGAGAGAGAGAGAGAGACTGAGGAAGCAGAGAGATAGGAAGAAAGTAGCATAGGGGTGAGAGAGAGTGTGTATGAGAAAAGGTGAAAACTGAAATGGAAGAGAGAGTGACAACTAGGGTTTGTAAACTTAAGAAATTTTATAAAAGCATTACATATTAGAAACCTATAAATATATTACTGGTTATAACATCACAAGCCCATAGTTAAGTTGTCTTGAAACAACCATCCCTAACCTGTAGGTCAAGGGTTCAAACCTTGACGCCAACACATTTTTGAGTATTTATATATAAATTATTTTTTTTCGGTTCGGTTCGATCTGGTTCGGTTTTCGAACCTCAAAAATCGAAACTGAAATGGTCAAATTCGGTTCGGTTCGGTTTAGCAGTTTCGGTTTGGTTTTTTTTTGTTCGATTTTTTTTGGCTTCAGTTTGGTTTGGTTTTCAATTTTTTTCGGTTTTCGATTTTTTGAACCCACCCCTACTGTTTAGCGCCGGTTTGGATAATTTCTCAAATGGTTAAATAATTAGGAAAACTAATGAAAATGACTTGAAAACTTTGAGTTTTAACGATAAGGATAAAATAAAGGGTAAAGTGAATAGTACAATGATTGATTTTTTAGTGTAAAAATGTGGTTTTTCGTTAAAGTGAATAATACCATGAGTTTTTCATTAAAGTTCTCATAATAATTTCTTACGACCAATACCACTTTGACAACGTTGGGTTGACAGATGTAAAAACAAATTTTTTTTTTAAGGATAGGTTGGTTTTTCAATGCATATTTTCAAGTACCATTTATCCAATGAGGATCCTCTTCGTGAGGATTCTGGAGAGTCTTAAATCGTGTCCATTCGTCGTACATTGTGCGGTCAGAAATCATTTTAAATATTTTATTTTAAATTAAATATGAATAGTGCCTAAAGAAAAATGATCACACGATATACGATGAACGAACACGATTTGAGGATCCTCATGATCCTTACAAAGAGGATCTTGAAAGGATCCTCCTGGCTCTTTGTCAACTAAAAACCAAGAAAAATACTATTATATTCTTCCCTGAATAATTAAAAAATAATAATAATCTATCATCTAATTTCATAAAATCTATCGTTTGACAAAAAAAATAGTATCAAAATAAAATTATGAGCATTAAAGTAATTTCGCACAAAAATATTTTGCTATTTTTTTTTAGGAAAACTAATGAAAATGACTTGAAAACTTTGAGTTTTAACGATAAGGACAAAATAAAAGGTAAAGTGAATAGTATCATGTTTGACTTTTTAGTGTAAAAATGTGGTTTTTCCTTAAAGTAAACAGTAACGCGGGCTTTTCGTTAAAACTCCTTTTTTTTTTTCTTTCCTAACCCACATGTCAACAAAACATATATATATATATATATATATATATTAAAATAAATATAAATAAAAATTCCCATATTCTCTCTTTCACATTTGTCTCCAACTTATCTTTCTTCAATGTACTTTTTTACTTTTAAATTTTTTATGTGTGGACTTCATCTAGTGCTAATTTATAAGTACTTTAGTATAAGTGCTTTCTGCAAAAAGCAAGCTCAAATGGATCCTTAATGTATGAGATGTTGAATACTGGAAAATAGCTTGCATTGGGAATCTTGGGATGATATTAGAGCCAAGCCAAGTTCCACTATGCATCTTGGTTGTTCTCCGATTGGCTAGAGCTCGTAATAGTAGTTATTAGAGTCAGGTAAATATATCGAGGCATTGAGTTGACATCAGCCTAGGAGTGGGTTCAAAAAATTGAAAAAATCAAATCGGACACTAAAGTAAGCTGAAAAAAAAAATTGAATCGAAATCCGTTAGTTCTGTTTCGATTTCAGCCCCACGCATCTAAACATTGTCATTTTATTTTATCCTATGAGGTCATCTCCAACCGAAGGGTCCAAAGGGTCAGAAGGCCAAAAATAGCCCGAAAATCGTCTCCAACCGGGGGCTAGGCCAGAGGGCTCGTGGAATCTAAGAGGGCCCCACAGAATCTGAAAGGGCCAAAGAGCTGGAGGGCTGGCCAGAAAAACTGGCGTCAGTTACGGTTGGATTCATTTTTTTTATATAGGTTTTTTGGGTCCTTTTTTTTTTTAATTCTCAAAAATTCTATTTTTTTCCCTATAAATAAAACCTAAACCATTCATTCACCATTCCTCACAAAATTTTCACCATTCCTACACCATTTCAATTCTCATATTTTCTTTCCTCTTTCAAAAATCTATCCTTCAATTTTTTCCATAATTTTCAAATGGCCTCATCGTTTTTAAATTTTATTTGTAGTTTTTAAATTTAATTCATCATTTTTAAATTTAAGTTATAGTTTTTAAATTTAAGTGGTTGTTGGATTTGAATTTAAGTTGTTGTAGTTTTTAAATGTAAATAATAAATTATGTTTGGCCCTATGGCCCTCAGTTGGATACGGTTCTTTGTGATAGGGCTAAAACGAGCCCTATGACCCTTTGGCTCTCGGTTGGAGACGGATGCAAATATGGTCATGTACTATTAATTAAAATATTAATATCTTGAAGGACCAGAGGGCTACGAGCCCTCTGGTCAGCCCTCGGTTGAAGATGGCCTGACATAAACGATGGGGTTCCGAGCTTTCCTCCCCACGCCTCACTCTCCTCCACCTCCAGCCCTCTGCACTCTCTCACTCCGTGCTCCTCAATCCTCACCGTACCTCACGGCCCGGCCTCTCCTCTGTCTGCGTCTTCAAGTTTTACAGGGAAAAGCATATAGAAAGGAAAAGGTAAGCCGTCCCTTCCGCACCGAAGTGTTGCCAAAGGAGTAAAAGGACTGCCATCGGGACAATGTCCCACACTGGAAATGTGGGAGTATGCTTTTGGGCACCATTTTCTTAAAGGCCGGTTTTATCGACGCAAGTTCCCCATATGGGCTTGTCTCATTGAGTAGTTTGCGGTGGTGATAACTTGACACCCAAGTTTTCAAGTTCTTGACCCATCAGACTTCATCCGTTGAGCATAACTTTCAGTACAAAACAATTGAATTTTAGAATATCTGTTTGACGAAACAACAGAAACGATACATTCAATGTACATCCTAGAGCTCAAATCCAACACAGCAATTACCCCAAAAAAGCAACTCAAAAAAGAAGCAACTCTAAAAATTTATGCTTCTTGTACCCTTGTATAGGATGCTGATTGAAACATAACCAATGCAGGTGCTTTTCTCTAACTTGGTGGACTATTATAGTCTGCTTTTTTATCTTGGCAGTCATTGGAATGTTGACAGGACAGGCATTTCCATCGCTCTTCCTTAGGAGTGCATCTGGCTTCACGCTCTCCTCGCAAGAACTCGAGTCTACACTGAATTTGACTTTTGATCCAATCAGAGTCATATGCAAACTCATCTTCACCAAGTAATGAATGATCTCTCTGTAACTCATATCTGAATCAGAGACAGTCATATCAGTGTCTTTCCAAAAGGTATAGTACCAAGTATTTCAACATGAACAAACGTTTACTTGAACTATAATTGAAGTAAGGGAAGCATACTGCTTATCTTTTCATACATTGAATGATACCATAAGTCTTTTTGTTGTTGTCAGCAATGATTCGGGAAATCAAAATGGACCGGCTACTTTTTCACTCAAATGTGTTCAAAGTTCAACTATTTACACCAGATGCAATCTTTGTGGCAAATCATATATGACCCGGAATTGGGACATTCAAAGATATACCTATAGAAACAAAATTGAACAAGCAAAAGTAAAAGAAGATCTCCTGCATAAATTTTACACTTACCTCAATAGCAGCTGGTCATGAGCAGGTCGCAGGTTGCTGCACATGTTCCCATAGTGTCTCACTATGTCATCAAGGGTCTGCAAAACCAAGAGAAAGTTTTACCTATAAAAAAATGCCTTTGAGAAGTGGTAATTACCTGAAAGCTCTACGTTACACACTTTTCCTATTAACTAACCATTTAGTTAATGTAAAAACCATCAATAAGAAGCCAAACCACTTACTAAAATAAGTACAGTAATATTGATAAATCTGAAAATCATGATTTACTAGACTGAATGTATCTATTATAATTCAAGTGGAGAGACTCTTTACCACCGCTGGGAACCCTGACTTAACAGTCCTCGCTCTGATTGTCTTAGGTAAAACGTAATGAGGTTTCAAGGAAAAGAAATCATAAAACTTCTCCGATGGGAATTTATTGGCAGCTAAAGCATCCCAAATACATTTGTAGCACATCAACTGAACCCTGCAAAAATAGATGTACACAGTGTGAGTTCATTTCTTCTGCAATGGCAACGAAAAATCAGCACGAAACATAAGCTAATAAAGGTGCAGACCTTCCATTTCTTTGTTGTGATTCATGAGGAAGTGTATCTTTCACACGAGTCTTTGTGTCAACTAATATTGGGTTTCTGTTGGTTTCCGTTACAGACAGTCGAATCTCATCAATCACACCCACCATCCATACCCCTTCTATAAAACCTATTCTGATACCATAACAAAGTATAGCCAATCATTGAAAGAAAGGAAGTTAAGAAGATCAATGCTCGGATGCCATCAATTCTATGAAAGAAAACAGAGAATTGGCTGTAAGAATAAAGCACAAGAAAGAACGTGCCTATCTGACATACCAATATATAAATGTCATCAATCTCAGAAGAATATCCTGAAGCATATTTCTAAGGACTAATCCTACTAAAAGTTAGATGTTTTTGTAAGACACTCTCAATCATGTTTCATTTTCAGTATTGAGGTTTCAGATATCCAGAGCATTGTCTCATTAGGTCCCAAAAACCACATCTGGATCACCGTCAGCAATTAGTAGAGTGTATTTCATATCATTTCAATCAAATACATGATAAGTTGTATATTGACTTAAAGGGCACCATAATCTTTACAATCCAGGATTCATACTAACATCCAACCCATACAAAAAACTCCCAAGCAAAGCATCAGAGCTGCAAACTTGAGCCAGACATCACTCCTTATAGATGATAACTACTTTGTGCAAGAATGAGCCATATGATCCATTTATTAATTGATTATAATGCTAAAGAAGCCATTGAGCCATATGATCCATTTATTAATTGATCATAATGCTAAAGAATCCCTAAGAACGCTTTATCTAACTAATTATAACAAAATGCCCCACAAAGATAAATTAATAAATAGAAAGATGAATCTTGGACCTTGCATGGATTGACAGCATATAATATCAAGTAATGCCAAGATTGAATCAAGTAGTTCCACCTAAACAATGTATCAGGAGTCAAAGATTGAATCAAGAGACGCAGATGAATTAACTTACAGTGGCAGCTCACGTGTCAAACTCCGCCTATGTAATTTTACATTGCCGGTCCCAAGCCCGGATAAAGGAGGAGGGGGAGGGCATCAGGTAGTCGACAGCCGGCACTCCATGATCACGTCGAATCCTTATGAAAATGAATCCAGAACAAAATCGCGCTAAAGCTAGGGCGTCACCCGTAAGTGGCGCGCTGTGTGGCCCGAGCACAGTGATAAGTGAGCAAGGGTCGCTGTATCTCCATCGGCTCCCGGATGCAGTGTTAAATGAGCAAGGGGGCCGTAGAAACTTCTTTTCGAACGACTCCACTCAAAGTTGTTTGGGAGCATATGCTGCTATCAATTTTACACGGGACACACAAAAGAAGTACTTTGATCCTATTAGACGGGGGATGGTGAAGAAGCTAGGACAGAAGGGTAGAGTTCAAGAGAGCAAAATGCGTTTAGGAACGTGGAATATAGGAACCTTAACGGGAAAATCTATGGAAGTAGTGGAAGTTATGGTGAGGAGAAGGATAAATATTATGTGCCTACAAGAAACTAAGTGGGTTGGTAGTAAGGCAAAGGATCTAGAAAACTCAGGGTTTAAACTTTGGTATTCGGGCACAAATAGAACGAGAAACGGTGTTGGCATCATCGTGGACAAGACCTTGGTACAAGATGTTGTAGATGTCAAGAGGGTAGGAGATAGAATCATGGCAATCAAGATTGTAATAGGACAAGAACTTATCAATGTGATTAGTGCGTACGCACCTCAAGTAGGGTTGGATACGAGTTCGAAGGAGAAATTTTGGGAAGACCTTGGAGACTTGGTGCAAGGAATTGCTCAGACGGAGAAGTTATTTATAGGAGGAGATTTAAATGGACACGTGGGCAGGGAGACAGGCAACTATGGAGGTTTTCATGGTGGCCATGGTTTTGGGGAGAGAAACGAGGATGGGGAAGCTATCTTGGATTTTGCAATGGCATATGATCTCTTCTTAGCCAACACCTTCTTTAAGAAGAGAGAAGAACATGTGATCACCTACAAGAGTGGGTCGTCAAAAACACAAATAGATTTTCTTCTAATGAGGAAAGGGGATCGTATAACTTGTAAGGATTGCAAAGTTATACCAGGAGAGAGCGTGGCTAATCAACATCGCTTGTTGGTGATGGATGTACATATCAAAAGAGTGAGACAAAAGAACAAGACTTGGAAGTGCCCAAGGACTAGATGGTGGAATCTAAAAGAAGAAAAACAAGCCATTTTCAAAGAGAAAGGTAATCACCCAATGTGTGTGGGATAGAGAGGGGGAAGCTAGCCAAATGTGGGATTCCATGGCTAGTTGTATCCGAAAAGTAGCAAAAGAGGTATTAGGAGAGTCCAAGGGCTTTGCCCCACACCAAAAGGAATCTTGGTGGTGGAATGAGGAGGTACAAACAAAGGTGAAGGCTAAGAAGGAATGTTGTAAAGCCTTATACAAGGATAGGACCGATGAAAATGGTGAAAGGTATAGAAAAGCGAAGCAAGAGGCGAAGAAAGCTGTGAGAGAAGCTAAGTTAGCGGCTTACGACGATATGTATAAACGACTAGATACCAAAGAAGGAGAGTTGGATATCTATAAACTAGCTAGAGCAAGGGAAAAGAAGACAAGGGACCTAAACCAAGTGAGGTGCATCAAGGATGAGGATGGAAAGGTTCTTGCTACAGAGAACGCGGTTAAAAGACAGATGGAGAGGTTATTTTCATAATCTTTTCAATGAAGGACATGAAAGGAGTGCTTCTTTAGGGGAGTTGAGTAACTCAGAAGAGTGTAGAAACTACTCTTTTTATCGTCGAATCCGGAAGGAAGAAGTGGTTGTAGCTTTGAAGAAGATGAAGCATAGAAAAGCAATAGGCCCAGACGATATACCAATCGAAGTGTGGAAAGTTTTGGGAGAGACAGGTATAACATGGCTCACTGACCTTTTCAATAGGATTTTGAAAACGAAGAAGATGCCAAATGAGTGGCGAACGAGCACTTTGGTGCCTATCTACAAGAATAAGGGCGACGTACAAAATTGCATGAACTATAGGGGTATTAAGCTAATGAGTCATACAATGAAGCTCTGGGAGAGAGTCATTGAGCATAGATTGAGGCAAGAGACACGGGTTTCGGACAACCAATTCGGGTTCATGCCAGGGCGCTCAACCATGGAGGCAATCTATCTCTTACGAAGATTGATGGAAAGATATAGAGATGGGAAAAAAGGATTTACACATGGTCTTTATAGATTTGGAAAAAGCGTATGATAGGGTCCCAAGAGACATTCTTTGGAGGATTTTAGAGAAGAAAGGAGTACGAGTAGCATATATCCAAGCTATAAAGGATATGTATGAAGGAGCAAAGACTGCCGTAAGAACTCATGAAGGACAAACCGAAAGCTTTCCCATAACTGTAGGATTACATCAAGGCTCATCCTTAAGTCCTTACCTTTTTGCGTTGGTAATGGATGAGTTAACAGGACATATTCAAGATGATATTCCTTGGTGTATGCTTTTCGCAGACGATATAGTGTTGATAGATGAAACTCAGGAAGGGGTAAATGCAAAGCTTAACCTTTGGAGAGAAGTGTTGGAATCTAAAGGTCTTCGCCTAAGCCGATCAAAGACAGAATATATGGAGTGCAAGTTCAGTGCAAATGGAGGCCAAAACGAGTTAGGGGTGAGGATCGGAGATCAAGAAATACCAAAGAGCGACCGTTTTCGTTACCTAGGATCTATCTTGCAAAAGAACGGAGAATTAGATGGAGATCTCAACCATAGAATACAAGCTGGATGGATGAAGTGGAAGAGTGCATCCGGCGTGTTGTGTGACCGCCGTATGCCACTGAAGCTCAAGGGAAAATTTTATAGGACGGCAATAAGGCCGGCGATGCTGTATGGCACAGAATGTTGGGCGGTGAAGCATCAACACGTACACAAAATGGGTGTAGCGGAGATGAGGATGCTTCGTTGGATGTGTGGGCACACGAGAAAGGATAAGATTAGGAATGAGGATATCCGGGGTAAAGTAGGAGTAGCCGAAATTGAAGGAAAGATGAGAGAAAATCGGTTACGGTGGTTTGGACATGTGCAAAGAAGGCCTACTGACGCTCCGATTAGAAGATGCGACTATGGGACAGAGGTTCAGGGCCGAAGGGGTAGAGGAAGACCTAGGAAAACTTTGGAAGAGACTCTAAGAAAAGACTTAGAGTACTTGGATCTAACGAAGGACATGACACAGGACCGAGCACAATGGCGTTCTAAGATTCATATAGCCGATCCCACTCAGTGACTTGGATTTTCCAAGTCTCCAACCGAGAAGTTTTCCTCACTCGGAAAATTAAGGGAACACTACCTCAACCTACATGCTCCACTCACAAAGCTTCAACATACAAGCTTCAACAAAAGAAAATTCAAAGAACTTAGCGAAGAAGGCTTTGGTGTATTTAACACAATACGTTGAAATGAAGGAAAGCTTATTTATTGATATCCCCGATAAGCTTACAAATATGTACATATACATGAGTCAAAATAAACAAACAAGAGGGAGCCTTCACAAAGGTTGCTTAGGAGAAGTCTCAGCAGTCGGTAGAGCCCCAGAAAGAGAAGGCACCGGAGGGGGATCATTCGGAGCCTCAGTACTGGACAGAACCCTAGAAGGAGGAGGCATCAGAGGTTGATCATTTGGAGCTTCATTACGCGGTACAGCCCCAGAAGACGAAGGCAATAAATGCCTTTGGAACAAACCCACAAATCTCTGATGATCAAGTAAAACCTGACCATCAGATTCCTTCATCTGGTCAAGCTTCCTCTTCATGTTTGTAGCATAGTCATGTGCGAGCCGGTGCAACTGTTTATTCTCATGCTTGAGCCCTCTAATCTCCTGTTTGAGACTCATCACTTCAGCCGCCAATGATTCAACTTGGCGGGTTCGAGCAAATAGGCGTTGGGCCATATTAGACACAGAACCTGCACACTGAACACTGAGAGCCAGAGAATCCTTAACAGCCAACTCATCAGACCGTTTGGAAAGTAGTCTGTTATCTTTGGGAGTGAGAAGGTTCCTGGCCACCACCGCAGCGGTCATATCATTCTTCATCACGGAATCCCCAACGGTAAGAGGACCAGTAGGGGAGACGAAGGATGGGCGCCATATGTTGTCTGGAGAAGGCGGGGCTGCCTCTTCAACAAGGTTCAAGTCAAAACGACGGTCGGAGGGGCCAGACATTTTCAAAGGTGTTGAAGAGAGAAGAGGTCGGACAAATCAAGATCTTAGAAGTGCAAGAATGGAGCTTCTACTGGTGGAGATTCAAGTGTGCTTTGGAACTTAATGCCAGCCCCTATAAAAATCTGCACTCGACGGAGCTTCAGAAATCGAAGAGGCGCCTGCTCAGAAATCGAAGAGGCGTTTGCTTTCTCAAAAGCTGGGCTGCTCAGAGACCACGAGGGTCGATCTCAGAAATCGAAGAGGTGTTTGCTTTCTCAAAAGTTGGGCTGCTCAAAGACCACGAAAGGCCGATCTCAGAAATCGAAGAGGCGCTTGCTTTCTCAAAAGCTGGGCTGCTCAGAGACCACGAGGGCCGATCTCAGAAATCGAAGAGGCACCTACTTTTCCAGCCTTGTCAGCACCTGTCACACGCACACACTCAGCTTTGCGGAAATTATGGGCATTCTGTCGAAGATTTCTGGTGAAGTAGAAAGCACATGAATCTTACTGTTCAATCACCCACTTCCCACACGCAACAATAGCTCATGGGTACCACAGATAACTTTGCCAAAGTTCTCTGACAAAGTTGAGACACGTGAAGCTTGCAGCTCCCACTACATCGCTCTGACCAAGAAGGGTAAAAGAATAGCAAAGAAACAGCACTAACAAAGTTTAGACACATAAATTTTGAAGGTCTAGCTACCATATTATTACCCACAAGGGTAAAGGAACAGTACCACTGCTGGATAATTGGAAAGTCCCTGTGTGTCAACCTCTGTGCCTTCGTGGCAAGGTAGACTAGCAAACATGCCCAACCTTTACTCACATTCGAGAAAACACTCCCAACAAGATTGCTTGCTCCAAAAATCGAAGAGGCACCGTCCTCCGAATCTCGAGAGCCAGACTCCCAACATGATTACTTTCTCAAAAATCGAAGAGACACCGCTCTCCGAATCTCGAGAGCCAGACCCCCAGCATGATTGCTTTCTCAAAAATCGAAGAAGGCATCGTTCTCCGAATCTCGAGAGCCAGATACCACAATACCACTTTTTTCAAAGTGCTCTGACAGAGTTAAAACATGTGAAGCTGGCAGCTCCCACTACCGTGCTATGACCAAGCAGGGTAAAGGAATAGCATTACTACTTGTTGTTAGGGAGACTCCTATATATGTCGACCTCCATCCCCAACGGACAGGCAGACCTGCAAAAATGCTCAACCCTTCCTCATATCTGAGAGGGCACTCCCAACGAAGCCTTTCGAAATATTCAGCTTTCTTTCCCCCCGATAATACCTCTCTGCAAACAAGCTATACTAGAGCAAGAATATCTCATATCATCAGGGTTAAAAGCAAGAGTATCCCATATCATGCTTTTTCCCTGTCTTTTCCTTTGGCCTTGTTCTTACCTGCAAGACAAGGAGAAAGAGAGCAATCAGTCAGCACTTGGAATCAAGCTTCCAGCCAGGAACTGACTGCCTGGAACCCCTTACCTGATTACTTACCTGGCATTGCTCTCGAGTACTCATCTTCAACATCTTATGCTTCCAGGGAAGATACCGCATCTGCCTGAGGAACAGATAGGGCAAGTGAGAAGGATACAAGGAAGCATGTGGAGACAAGCGTAACAGCACACGTGCCGATACATCCATTACTCTGTCAAAGGCAAAAGTATCCCATATCAGCAGGGTCGAACGTACTCTAGATTTGATGGACTTGTTTTGACCCTCAAATTCTTCAGTCGGCCTTATACTCTGGAGGAAACCAGAAAACCCTCCAGCTCAGTTCAAGAATAAGCCTGTGGAAAGTTACTTCTTCAAAAGCAAAAGTATCTCATATCATCTCTTCTCATTTTTCTTCTCTTTATCCTTCATGCTGCCTGCAAGATGGGGAGAAGGTGAACAATCAGTCCGGAGCTCTGATTGCTTACCTTGTCTGTCACCTCTTTCAGCAGATCCCCTAGCTCGGCGACTTGGGGGACTCCTACTACATGGTTTGTATCGCGCTTGACCAAGCCTGAAACTACAAGTAAGCTTCAAGTGAAATTGATACATTACCTTGTGCATCTCCACCAGTTAAAGATACCACCCCTGGATGGAGGAAGAGTACTTCCAGAGAAGATGCCACATCTACCTATGAGACAGATAAGGCAAGTCAAGACGATACCACACTCCGATACTTAGAAGTTTCGTGATTACGAGATCATTCTCCCACAATATTTCCTAATGTCATTTGTACTCTAATGTCATTTGTACTAAATCATTCACTTGTACTCACTAAAGGAGAGCTTGAACCTATGTACTTGTGTAAACCCTTCACAATTAATGAGAACTCTTCTATTCCGTGGACGTAGCCAATCTGGGTGAACCACGTACATCTTGTGTTTGCTTTCCTATCTCTATCCATTTATATACTTATCCACACTAATGACCGAAGCAATCTAGCGAAGATCACAAAAAGCGACCGTTTTCGCTACCTAGGATCTATCTTGCAAGAGAACGGAGAATTAGATGGAGATCTCAACTATAGAATACGAGCTGGATGGATGAAGTGTAAGAGTGCATCCGGCGTGTTGTATGACCGTCGTAGGCCACTGAAGCTCAAGGGAAAATTTTATAGGACGGCAATAAGGTCAGCGATGTTGTATGGCACAGAATGTTGGGCGGTGAAACATCAACACGTACACAAAATGGGTGTAGCGGAGATGAGGATGCTTCGTGGGATGTGTGGGCACACGAGAAAGGATAAGATTGAGAATGAGGATATCCGAGGTAAAGTAGGAGTAGCCGAAATTGAAGGAAAGATGAGAGAAAATCGGTTCCGGTGATTTGGACATGTGCAAAGAAGGCCGACTGACGCTCCGGTTCGAAGATGTAACTACGGGACAGAGGTTCAGGGCCGAAGGGGTAGAGGAAGACCTAGGAAAACTTTGGAAGAGACTCTAAGAAAAGGCTTAGAGTACTTGGATCTAACAGAGGACATGACACAAAACCGAGCGCAATGGCGTTCTAGGATTCATATAGCCAACCCCACTTAGTGGGAAAAGGCTTTGTTGTTGTTGTTGTTGTTGTTGTTGTTGGCAGCTCACGTGTCAATCCTTCAAACAGTAATTGATCTACACCAGTTATAAACTTCAGAAGCTTCAGAGCCCATACAACTTCAATCGATTTGACACGATCTTTAACCCTTTTTACAGCCTGCCCACAAATATAAGCAGATTGTAAATGTGCATAGGAAACATGGAGCTACGAAAAGGTATGGAAAAGTGCTTTGTACTTTGGCAAGTAAGAAAAAGGTTCCATTCATCTAAAAAAAGGCTGAATTCTAGTTCAACATGAACTATGATTTTAAAATGCCAAGAGTCAGCTAATTCATGCAGGACAAAACCCCAAATACTACCAAATCGTAACTCTTTTTGAATGCTTACCTCTTCTTCAAGTTTTACATGGCGAGCAATACATGCTTCCATAGCCTTACTCACTTCTTGCATGCCAACAAGGAAAACAAGCTCCATGTTTCGGTCATACCATTGCTATAATGGACATGTAATGAGAACAGATCTAGGTCAAATATCTTTTGAAATCGTTAAGTTGGTGGACAGAAAACTTACATTAAACCCTCTTGCAAAGTAATAATAGCATTCAGATTACTAAAGTTAATTATTCATAGTTACTACTACACCGGCACATTGCAAATACTATCTCGAAAAAACAACCATATACCACGGTTTCAATGTCGATGATACTAAAGTACGTGACACTCAACCCTTTCTTCCTACACAGGTGCAATGAGTCCGCCACCCGAGTCATCTTCTGGGCACTCTTCAAACCTACAGCATCCTCGATATTGGGTTCGGACAAAACTGATAACCTGCTCTTCGGATCCCATTTATCTTCAATCAATTTGACACGAACTTTAGCTTTTTTTACAACCTGCCCAAAAATATAATCAGATTGAAAATGTTCGTAGGAAACGTGGAGGTATGGAAAAGTGCTTTGTACCTTGGGAAGAAAGAAAAAGGTTACATTTCGTCTAACAAAAGCTGAATTCTATTTCAACATGACTACCAAATTGTAACTTGACTACCATAGGAATCGGCTAATTCATGCAGGACAAAATCCCAAACCCCAAGTAGTAATCACCTTTTGAATGCTTACCTCTTCTTCAAGTTTTGCATGGCGAGCAATACCCGCTTTCATTGCCATACTCTCTTTTCGCTTGCCAACAAGGAGAACAAACTCCATTTGTTTTTCACACCATTCCTGTCAGTGACATGTACGGAGAACAGATCTAGTTCAAGTATCTTTTGAAATCATTAAGTTGGATGGACAGAAAACTTAAACTAAAACCTCTCACAAAGTAATAATAGCTTTCAGATTACTAAAGTTGTTTATTCATAGTTACAACTACACTGTGCCCATTACAAATACTATCTGGAATTAGCGACCATATGTGGAAATTAGAAGCATTTGTGAACACACACCGGAGAAATGGGGATTCTCAATCTGATTCCGCCTCATTTTCACTTTCCAACTGAAAATTATTCAAATTTCAAATTTCTAAATCAAATATTTTGCTTTAGACTCATACACCATTGATGTGTCATAAAGAAAAGCAGCAAATTTAAATCAATCTATTGCATAGAAACCATTGCATTATCATCGCTATACAATTCAAAAATCAATCCCAAACATTCAATGTAACCATCCAAATCCATTACCAAATGATTAACAATCAAACAACAGAGTTTCAAAATTTACAAACATAAAGCAAAACCAATTTTGCAAAGACCTCAAAAAAAGAATCCGAAAGCCAATAAATTCCATACACTGCCAGTAATGTCGGTGACAAGCAAGCCCTTCTTCCTATACCGGTGCAAAAACGATTCAGCCACCTGAGTCTTCTTCTGAGGACTCTTCAAACCACCCGAATCCTCAAAATCGGGTTCGGAGCAACCCGATAGCCTCCTCTTTGCATAGCCCTTCTCCCAATAATGAGATAAAATGTTGTAATGTAAATTATCTAAAACACCAAGTCAAGAGAGGATAAAAATTATAAAGCATCAGACTTACAAAATGAGAAGATGTGATATTTGGGACCGGGGAAGTAACAAGGATCCTGTGTACCAGTCGATCTTCAAATCCAGCATTTCGAGCAGACTCAGAATTCAAATGCAGATGATTATAGTCACGTCTCACTTTTGAGCACTCTATGACATCTTCATTCGTGAATACTCTAGCTTGCTTTAATGTATCTCCAGTTCCAAGAAAACTAGCTGGTGCTGACAAAAAACCTCTCAAATAAGGTAGGTTGACTGAGAGTAAGTTCCGGCTGAGCATAATTGTAAAGGGTTTATAAACGCTGTCCGACAGAGCAGCACCCCAACAAAGTTATGTTCATTTTTGCCTTTACCAGATAAGTGTTGTCCTCTCCATAGAAAATACAGGTCTTGGCATACTAACTAGTGTATGCGTACACCTGCACCATCAAAGTACACCTTCAAACCTTCAATACACGTAATGTTTCAGGAATCAGGATCATGGGCAAATTAGTTTTCGCGTATATTGCTAGACTGAAGTGAAAGCCTTCATTTTTTCCTCATATCATTCCTATGTTGCTTGTACTAGGCATTGTCACAAACAATTGGCAGGCATAAATTTCAACAAAACATAGATACACCCAGTTATCAAAATGTTTGCTAGGATCGACCCGCGAGATTCCAAAAGCTACAGATGATTTATTATTCATATGAATGTCAAAAGCATTGCCGGTCGAAAACTAGACAAATGAAAATATAAAATCTCCAAGCAGAACATTAGGCGTTTGGAAAAGCAATCTGCATACAGTTGGGAATGCGAGAACACGGATTGGGTTGATTTTTACCTGATATTGGTCGCCTTAAAACAAATGCATCACTTGGTCTTTGTTTTTTAGGAGAACTGAAGAGAGGGACTGAGAGAGAAAAGGCAAACGAAACTAGCAAATGGGTTGCTGCCTGTAGTTAAGGAGAGATTTTTTAGTGTATCACACGAGGTGGTACCATGTGTTCCTATATAAATCGTGGGTTATGTGTGTTAAAAGGATAATAAATTAAAAATTAAAATTTTTCACCACTTTCATAAAAACACGTGATGTACCATCTGTGTTCCCGTCACAACTAAACATTTCTCGTAGTTAAGCGTCTGGTTAGTATTCTACTTGAATCCAATTTTTTAAACTCAAAACCAATTTTCAAGTTTTAGACCTTAAAATCTTGTTTGGTATGACTATTTTTAAAGGGGTGTGATATTCACACACCTCTTTTTACTTCTCCCACACCATTTTGGTTTTCGACTGTCGGATCGGATGAATTAAAGAAGATCAACAGACATAAATTAACAAGGGGTGTGTGAGAAGTAAAAAAGAATGTGTGGATAGCACACCCCTTTCTAAAAACTAAATTCAAGACTAACTAAAAAATATAGTCTATTATCTAAAAACATAAAAACTGAGTTTTTAGAGTTTTTAAACATAAACTCACTCCTTTCCTTTCTCTCCCTTGTCCTTCTGACTCCAAATCTATCTCTCTTTTCTTCTCTCTCTCCTTTTTTTTTTTTTTACCTTTTTCGTCTTTTCTCCAATCCACTCTCTTCATTCTCTCGGCTCTTTCTCTCACTCTTCTTCCTCTCTATCTCGTATGATCCTCTCTCTTTTTTCTCCTTCCTTCAATCATCTTTTACTTTCTTTCCTCCTCTCTCCTCTTTCTCCCTCTCCTGCGACCCCCTCTGTTTAAATTTCTTTGTCTAGTTTAAGTCGTAAGATTTAAAATTTTTAAATCGCAAATCAATCAAGTTTTTAAGTCTTAAAGAAAATTGTTTTCAGGAAATGTTCTTAAGAAATGATAAAAACTTTCAAATAGAATACCAAACAGGCTCTAAGCATTTTACACTTTTTCTTCGTCGGAGACCTCTTCATCAACGGAATGTAAAATATTCATACTATTCACCGGAAAGATGTAAATAAAAATATATATTCACATTCTTTTATATCTTTACGGTAATCTCCACAAGTTAAAGGGAGAAAAATAAATGAAACCACATATTTTTATCTCTTTAGAGATGCAAAGTGCGACGTAAATACATTTCATAAAAAAACCAAATGATGATTCTTCAATACGCTTTTCAAATTGCTTTTCTAAAAAATTACTTAGATAGATTTTTAGTAAAAAATTCAGAATGTTAATAAAAGCCTTGTAGTTTAAGTGCTTCTCGCAAAAGAAATTCCAAACGAATTCTTAACGTTAAGACTCAAATATTGCAAGTTGGAAAAATAGCATGCATTGGGAATCTTGGGATGGTATATGAGGCTATGAGCATCGTATTAGGGCCACGTTCCACTATGCAACTTGGTTGGTTTCCTGTGGGCAAGCTCGTATTAATTGTATTAGAGCCAGGTGATAGCATCGAGTCATGGAATTAATACGACCCCTTTTTTTCTTTTTCTTTATTGTTAGATTGGAATTACACTAGGGCAAGGCAAAGCCAAAATACATTAGAAAAGCCCACACAAAGGACAAACAACGCTACAAATCATATAAACAACATACAACAGGGTGAAAGAGGGCTAAAGACCGACACAGTCAACAACTACATGTCACCCTAATTCACTCCAACACCAACTCTATTTAATGTGGGCAAGGTAGACCATCTTTGTTCATAATATGTACAATCAAAGATGGGGGTCTTTCGACCCAAGTATAATTGTTCATCTTCGAGCCCTTGCTCCTCGAAATCTTGCCAAAGGAGAGAAGGGCTACCGTCGAGACAATATCCCACTAGATACTCCTTATATGCCCTTTTTAATTGGGCAACTTCTACATATGGGATTGAATCATCGAGTTAGGGCTTGTTTGGAAGTACTTTTAAAATGTCTACATACGCTTTTGATGAAAATGTTTTTAGAACCATTACTTAGTAAAAACGCAAGTAAATCCTAAAAAAACACTTGAAGTGCTTTATGGGAGAAGCACATAACTGGTGTTTTTTCTAAGAGGCACTTCAAGTTCTTTTGGAACCCAAAAACATTTTCTCTAAAAGCATTTGCAGTCATTTTAAAGCACTTCCAAACAAGCACTTAGTGTTGGTGGTAACTTGACTCTCAAGTTCTCATCCCACATAAGTTTTACACGCTCATTTTTACTTCTCACACACCTTAATTTTCGACTATCTGGTCAAATAAATAAAAAAGACCAATAACTACAAATTAACTAGAATGCACGAAAAATAAAAATAAGTGTACGAATAGCACTATGCTTTTCAAAATTTTGAGTCAAAAGTTATATTTGCCTGCAAACTTGATTAATCCATCACTAATGTTAGAGTCATATATGACTTTGGAGTTATATAGGTCGAAAGTATTATAGAGTCGCAGGTGCATCCACCATAATTGATAATGCAAAAATTATATTTGACTCGATCCCTTTTTAAAACATAAATTAAAAGTTAAAAGTTAAATTTAACTTTGTATGCATTGTGAATGACATAACTTGCACCATATTTATAGATCACCATTACACTATGTTGATGTACAAAATCGGGTCAATCATGTAAATTCGACAGTAAATCACACATACACACAAGAAGAGAATGATATATTGTGGTTTACTCCAAGTTAGGGTTACATCCACATTGGTGTTAATTCGATTTCACTATGTAAATGAGGGTTACATCATACACAGAGGCTAGAGAGGCCATTTTTGTCATCCATCTAAAGTGAGGGTGAAAGATCCTTTTCATGAAACAAGGATTTTTTTTCACCTCTTACATGCATCATGGGCTAGTTAGTGAAGCCCAGATATTGAGGCTCAATATATGGTATAATTAACACACTAAAATGTTAAAAAATAAAATATACTATTCTAAAGACAAATACAAAGTCATATCCAACTATATATATATATATATATAAAGGGAGAAGGCCAGTTTGGTGAAGCATTCAGAAATGCCAAGAAAACCCCTTTGTTTTCTTCACAATTGAAATCCAGAAAAAGCAAAAAATGAGGACAAATTGGTAAAAAACCATAACTTAAAAAGAGATAGCATCATAAGCGTGAGTTTTGCCGAATGAAGAATGAGAACCATGCCGTGGGATTTAACCACCCTCCACATTCTGCAAACTACCAACCAAATCAAAAACGTCCATTCCCTCACCTCCCTCCATCTCCTTATCCTCCAAGAGCTCACTGGTCTCTTTCTTTTCACTCTCTCTCTCTCTCTTTCTCTCTCTCTCTCTCTCTATCTCTCTCTCTTTCTCTCTCTCTCTCCCTCTCTCTCTCTCTCTCTTTAAAAGCTAAAATTGACAGAAACTGACGACGGGTTTGTAAATGCAGGGAAGAGGAATTCTCGGAATTTAGTTTTGCGCTGGCATAGTGTGGGCTTTGAGAGCAAGTCGTACAGTTTTGGTTTCTAAAGGTTTAGGATATCACACAGTCTATTGGGAGCAGTCTGGAAATCCCAATGGCCGTGTCTAGGTATGTGTTCAAATTTTTCTCTTCTGTGATTTCTTCGTTCATCGATTCTTCCCTTGCTTTATGGTATGATCGTATAAATCTATCCTAGAACCTTCCATATCTGAAACTCTGGAAAAAAGATTTGGGTTGCTTGACAATTCACCCTGAACTTGATAACATCAACGCCATGGAAGCCTGATTATAGCATAAACAATACTTTCAACTTTGAAGATGCATCAACTCTTGGAATTCATTGGGCTACTCCCCCTTAGCAGTTACGAACAATTGGGAAGTTAGTTTTCTTTTTTATTTTGAATTTCAATTTTGGTCAAAGTTGGGAATTGTATTGGGAAAGAAAACAAGTCCATTAAAAAAAATGAGTACGAAATTTTGGGGTGGTTTGTTGGCCGTATGATAAGGTTGGGGATGAGATGATTGGGTTGGGTTTAGAAGAGGTTGATTTCTAGGAGAGGGGTGGAGGAGGAAGTCTAATAAGAGGCTAAAAAGGCTACCACATAATTCTCTAAGGTTTTTCCTCAACTGGGTTCTCTGCTTTAATTTCTTTCATTTTAAAACTCGGTTGAAATGGATAAAAAATCAATGCATGTACTCAAGGTTTTGTTTGGTGTCTTTGTTGAGTTTCAGAACTTTCCTCTCTGGTTTTCTGATTATGTTCTCAGTTGGGATTATTTCTCACCAATTTCCTTTGAGATTTGTGCGTGTGTTGTTAATGCTATGTTTCTTCATTTTAATAGGAGATGGAATTGCTCTCTTCCTCTTTTGGTACCTACATATGCCCTCTTTCTCACATTCCTTCATTTGGGGTCTAAAGTTGAGGCTTTTTTGTGTAAAATATCATTCTATTAAGTGGCTTATCATATGTTGGTTCTCTACACTTTCTGCATAGTTCAGAAGGCATGTTTTTTGGTTCTCTAGCTCTCTCTCTCTCTCTCTCTCTCTCTCTCTCTTCTATTGGGGTTTTTTTTTAATTTCTGTGAATTCTACTGAGTTTTCTTGGTTTAGAAATGTGTAGAATTACATTTAAGAGGCAATACAATGGAAGAGAAGCACATATAAGTTCTTAGGCATTTCCTACATGATGACTATGCTTAATTGCCTACTCTCCGCTTGGTATGCTGCTTTGCTTCTCACTCCTTCAACTACTCTCTCTCTCTCTCTCTCTTCCGCATGGTTGAAAATTTATTGGATTTCTATGCAAAAAATATGAATCTTGATATTGGGTTGCATGATACTGTACAATTATCCTTTGTGTATTACATGGTATATATACCATGTTTAATGTGTGACACAATAGTTTTGTACACTTCAATTATTAGTCTTGTGTAATTAATTAATAATTTGGATTAATTTAATTAATGTATTATGTATGATTTACTTACATTTTACAATGGTTTACTACTGTTTGTTTCGCATGAGGCTCTGGAACAATTTGAGAAAGAACAATACTTCTTCAAATCATAGCCCTTCATATGTAATAGCTGCAAAAGGTGTGG